ATCTTCCACAGTCAGCACTGAACGTGTTTGTGGTACATCTGCAGGACAGGTCCTCCAGCATCTGAAGATCTTGACCCTGAAAATCTCTGTCAATGGTGAAGCAAAATCTAAGAGATTCGTGTTTAGGCAGAAGGGTAAGTAAGTCCAGGAAAAGTGTAGAGGAAGAATTCTTCTTCTTAGGATTCTCAACAAAATTAAAATCAAGCTCAAACCCTTAAACAGCAGAGAAGGTCGAGGTCAGGGTGAGGTAGGGTTAAACCAGGACTAGAGTGCAATTAGGCTGTGATATGGATATGTTTATGGGACAGTTAAACTGTCTCTTAAATCACCTCAGCAAAGGCAGGCTATCAGATCATACGTGCCTGTACTTGAACTACTCACCTAGGCTCACTTCAGAGACAAACAGGCTCTTCCCAGGCACTGCCAGGGACCAGCACAGATCACCTGCAGACTGGTCAAGTCCTGAAAATGTCACTTTGTCCTCACTGATTCAAAAGGGAGTTGGAGGTGAGTGTCTCAGGAGTGGATATCTGCCCTGGGGACATCTGTATCCATCCCTCCTTCACCTGCCTGGGAGCAGCCCTCTTTTGACTGCAAGAACAACTCAACCTGTAGTCCCTGCTCTGAACCTTCCATGTGGGCAGGAATTGCTGGATCAGCCCCAAAGTGTTATGTAAAATGGCTGTGATGTGTATATTTATATGAATCATATACATTAATTGCATAATAGTCACCCATGCTCCCCATCCCACATGCACTTTGGTTATGCATAGGACAGAAAGACTGAGTGCATTCACTATGAATCACGTAATAAGACTACATCCCTCAGGCAAACCCTCTCTAAAATGACCCTTTTCTTATATTCCCATGGCTTCCACTACAATATTATTTAATTAAGAATATTAATCTGCTGGGCCACCAACTTTCACTGTCTTCTGGGGAAGTCTGAACAGACAGATATTTTAATAAAACATGGAGAATCCTGCTCTTTTTATGATTGAAATATTAAGGTAAGGCAATTTCATGGCCTCATGGAATTGTTTCTTTATTTTTTCTTGATATGAATGTAAAACTTCTAGACTAGAAATATAATTGGTTCAAAAGTTGCATGAGTGATGCCAGATAATTTTTTTTTTTCCTTTGCTTTTCAGCTTGTGCTGTTGAATACTGCCCAGATACTTGGAATATATAATTGATTAGTTGTAGAGCAGTGCAAACAGAGCACTGACCCCCAGCTGGAGAATATAGAAGATGAATGCTTGCAGTTTGGCAGCCATGGGCACACATGTGCACGTGCCTGCAGCACGCATGCAAACCTGCCAGTAGCGCAGAGAAATCATCCGAGACACTGACAGGACCAGTTCAGCTGCATTGCAGCAGCTGCCTGAGGAGCTCCTCAGGGTTGCAGCCTGCTGCCCTTTTCTCCTCTCCTATGGGATGAGCAACTGCATGCACTACTATGGCAGTGCCCCACCACATCCTGTCCTGCAGCCCCAAACCTCTTCTGATGTTCAGCCTAATCTGGGGTTGAAACACAGGCAATCTCATCACCAAAATTCATGGAATCGTTAAGGTTGGAAAACACCATCATGTCCAACCCAGCAGCACCACATCCAACATCAAACTATGTTTAGTGTTTTAAGGGCCACATCCATGTGCCTTTTGAACACTTCCAGGGATGGTGACTCCACCACTGCCTTGGGCAGCCTGTTCCTTTACCTGACCACCATTTCATTGAAGAATTTTTTCCTAATATCCAATCTAAATCTCCTCTGGTGCAACTTGAGGCCATTTCCTCTCATCCTATCACTTGTTACTTGGGAGCAGAACCTGATCCTCACCTGTCTGCATCCTCCTGTTAGGGAATTGTAGAGAGTGAGAAGGTCCCTTCTGAGCCTCTGCTTTGCCAGGCTGAGCCCTCCCAGCTCCCTCAGCTGCTCCTGAACCTTCCCCAGCTCCGATCCCTTCTTTGGACATGCTCCAGCCCCTCAGTGTCTTTCTGGTTTGAGGGTCCTGAGACTGAGCAGAGGATTCAAGGTGTGGCCTCACCAGTGCCCAGCATGGGGGGATGGTCACTGTCTTGGTGCTGCTGCCACACCATTGCTGATACAGGTTAGGTGCTTTTGGTCTTGTCCATGTGGGCACACTGCTGGCTCATGTATCCATCCCAAGATGGAGAAGAACACCACCACTTTGGCCATAAGGATGAGTGTGGTTTTAGTCAAAGAAAAATTATTAAAAGTAGCTCTCAAGGGCTGCCACTGACAATAAAACCAGGAGCCACTCCTGCTTTATTGGATGGAATATTTTCAATATCTGGGTGAGAACAACTTTAGTAGTTGTGCAGGTAAAGCCATGGAGGCTTGTGGAAAGGCTGGGTAATGTGAAATTAGGGCAGATAGGAAGTTCTGTGCCTGTAGGTGTGACAGCCAAGGCTAAGGGGGAGGTTTTACTCATTTTTCCTCCTGCATGATGTTAAGAAACAGGCAGTAAATATGGCATTCATTAAAATGACCTTGTATACTTTTAACAGCCTTGATAATCAGATTTCTGCCACTGTATCGGAAAGCAACTTTTTTATTCAAGGCCTTATAAAACTCTTAATTTCTCCCTGATGCTTTAAAAATGCCTGAAGTTTTCTAACTATTTTAGTGTTTCTTTGCAGTAATTTCCTACCTTCTTCAGAGTTCTGTTCTCTTCCTAAATATGCATTAAGTAACTGAGTGAAGATTTGCATTTCTTTGAGTGTGAAGGATAAATTGCTTGCTGTACGGGGCAACTTAAAACTTGCATTTCTCTCACTCTTTAGATATAGGAGGTGTTGGATGCTGCCCTCCCTCCCTGTGGCACTGCAAATGAAACCTTGAGAAGAGGCACTGTCATGTTTGCAGCTGAGGCTGCAATGTGCCTGCTTGCATCCTGAGCATCTGAGTGGGTCCTTCAGCCAGGAATGCCTCTCTCTGGTGCTGAGTAGAGCATTTATATTCTGAATTTCCATTTCTGTCAGCAAACACTGCACACAACCTCTGGCCCTTGTGGAAGATCAAAGTCCCCCTTTTCACTCTTGAATCTAACTGGAAGCAAGATTCCCCTGCTGGAAAAAGGTCAGGGCATTGCAGAGGCATCGTTCAAGCCCTAGGAAGATGAAGGACAAGAAGCGCGAAGGCAAATGGCCATAGAGCATGGCAGGAAAGTTCAGCCCACGGCCACACGACGTACGCAGCCAGGTCTTTTAGTCACTCTCTGCCTGTGCCCACATGCCAGGCGCTCACGTCTGAATACACACAGACAAGCAAGGGCTGCAGGGCGAGCATGCGGCGTGCAGCTGCCAGGTCCCAGCCGAGCCTCTCCTGCAGGTATTGCCGCGGGCACGATTGCAAAAATAACCCATTCGACAACACAGACCATCAGGAGGCTCTGACTCAAAGGGAACCTGTTTCAGGCCAAACAAAGCATTTCCTCAGCATCAAGCCGATTGAGTTTTTTGACCCAAGTCAGGGTGTTGCATGGAGAGCCCACAGGAACCTGCTCCAAAACCCTCCAGCTCTCAGCCCACATGCAGATCTTTGGCATCTCTGTGAAGGCAGAGCGCACTGGGGCTGCAGAGGGGTTTGCAGCTGGCTGTTTGAGAAACAAAGCTTCCCTCCTCCAAGATGAAAGAAATCAGGGAGTCTATGCTAATCAAATCCTCCACGCCTGCTGGCTGCAGTTCAGCTTGTCAGGGATGCAGCTCAGTGGAGTGATCAGCATTTCCAGTGCTATGAGCTTGGTGTAAGGGGAAAACACAACAGCAAGAAATTCACCTGGCTGGGAATCAAACAGGTGTATGGCAGCAGCATCCAATATTATAATAATATCTTGCAAACATGCAAAAAATAGATGTAATAAGACTGATTCTTTGGTTTTCATTAATGAATCATAAAGGCTCTCTTTACATTACACATGCTTTTTTGGCATATGCTGCTAATATTTCCACACTTGCAAGGTTGGAGTTTTAAGACTGAGCCTCCCTCCCCTAAGGTTCCTCATTTTTGGCAAGAGGTACAAGGTTACTGTGTGCCATGACAGGCTCTCTCTTACTTTGGGGCAATCAGATTACTTTACACAGATGGTTTTATCACTGAGACCATTAGAGGTGAATTGTGCAATATATAAATGTGCATTTGTTTGGTAAAAAAAAGTCTCAGTTCCTCACTACTGTCTTGTCTATATTCCTAAATGTATTTCCTCTCTCCTGCATCATTCCAAGGCACAATTTGTTCAATCTTTACCTTTAAGTGACTCAACTAGTTTCTGATAGTTTTCTTAAGTACATATTAACTAAGGAAACAGTCTTTCTTGAGCTACTGGATTGAAATACAGGAGAATGAACCTCAGCCATAACTACTGAAGAAATAAAGGCATCTATCTGTCAGGATGCTTAACAACACACACGCCACAAAGGTAAAGCACCAAAAAATAGAGAGTATAACATTTACTTTAAAACATAGAATCACAGAATGGTTTGGGTTGGAAGGGACCTTAAGATCATCTTGTTCCAACCCTCCTGCCATATGCAGGGACACCTACTAGACCAAGATGCTCCAAGCCCCATCCAACCTGGCCTTGACCACTTCTAGGGATGGGGCAGCCACAGCTTTTCTGGGAAACCTGTGCCAGTGCCTAATTACATGCAAGTAAACATCCTTTTGTAGGGAAAATTAAAAAAAAAAAAGAAAAAAAAAAAAGAGATAATTTGTTCAAAGAATCAGTTCACAATTAAAAAATAATCTGATCTGAAATGAACCTAAAGTTATTTGAGAGAGACATTCTCAGAGCAACATAGCAGCTCTTCCACATTTGAAAAAAAAGGGATTTTGAATCCTGCCTGCCATGCAGGAATCCTGGTATCACTGCTGAGGTTTGCTCTCCTTGCCAAAGTTTGTCTGAGGCCACGGAGGCAGCTGTTGCCAGTCTTGTTCCTCTCTGCATAATTGTTTTAGGCAAAACAGAGTCTTTACCTGAGAGGCGTCTGGGCACATCGGTAATGGCTGGAAGTCCTGTGCCTCGAGTGGAGGACAGGGGAGTTGTGGAGTGAATGGACGGTGAAGTCATCTGGCTCAAGTAGGATGGGTAAGACTGGTCATAGGACCATGGCGGGGATGACTGCGCCTGCCTGGGGTCTAGGGGGAAAAACAAACAAACAAAAAAGATAAAATTTTTTTAAAAAGAAGAAAAATTTTAAGGTATCAACAGCCCAATTGAAAGAAGTGGGATTACTGAACATACTACACACATCAGTACTACAAAGAGTGAGAATGTAATGAAACACAACTTGCTCCTCAAGACTCAGCCCTTTCAGGTCTTGGTCTGTGCTTTTCCCTCCCCAGAACAATTTCGGTGGGAAATGAACAGACCAGAGAGCAGAGTTTTAAAAGGTCTAGAAGCTGGGATGCAAATTCCTCTTGTCTCTCTTCCAGCATGCTATACCAAGAGTTGCCAGTCCTCCAGGAATCAGAGAGAGAAGCAGACAACAAGAATGAGCCCCAGGTCTGATCTTAGGAAGTGGACTTCATGGAATCATGGAACTGTAAAGTCATTACAGTTGGAAAAGACCCCTAAGACCAGAGTCCAGCACTGCCAGGTCCACTGCCAAGCCATGTCCCTTAAGCATCACAGCTACAAGATTTTTAAACACTCCCAGGGATAGTGACTCCACCACTTTCCTGGGCAACCTATTCCAAAGCCTGAGCAACCTTCGAGTGAAGAAAATTTTCATAAGATCCAATCTAAATCTCCCCTGGCAAAACCTAAGGCCATTTCCTTCAGAGGTGGGTAGACTTTACAGTCAGCACTTGGCAGGCCTGTCAAGGTGTTATCCAGTTCAAATATCACACAATAGTGTTTTCAGTGCTGAAAATACTACTCAAGGAGAAAAATGTCATTAATCTTATCAGCATCCGTCAAAAAATTGCCACATTTGGATGCTGGCCCAATTACTTACAGTACCCTCAATTACAAAATATGAAACCAAATGGTTTGGGATAACTATTGGAAGCTAATGATACCTTTTGATATATTTGCAACAGCTTACTATGGAGGAAATTATTTTTAGGTAAACACAGATCAATTTTTGCTGAAGCACTGGTAGAAGGAGACCTAGTTTTACTGACTGATGTTTAGATTCATAAACCATTTGCTCTCAGTTAATATCTGATGATAAATATACCAGTGAATACCTCATAATTATGCTTTTTATTTCCTTACATCGACAAAATTGAAGCACTTTCAACCCCAAAGTCTGTTTGGGGCTCTGCACAATAAACAGAAAACTATCTCTGGACTAGCTCACAGAAATTGTAGCACATCCCTTCAAATCCTGCCCACTATTTTCAGGGAAGCACAATCATTTAGAAAACCTGCTCTATCAGAACACTGTACTAAAGCCCTGCTTTGTAGACAGCAATGTGACAGCCATATGGCATAAGCAAAGGCTCTTTTTCAGGAAATTCAACATTTTTTTCCTTTTTTAACTCCTTTCCCTGCTCTTCCATGTAGCTAAACCTTGTAGTTTCAGCTACTTCTTGTTTATTATTTCTCTTGAGACATGATTTGTTTGAAGAAATGTCTGGAAAGCAGATACTTCCTGGAAGCAAAATAACTATATAGATATATAGATTTAAAAAAACACCTTCCAATTTAATTTTAAGAAGATTTTCCTGGAGTTTGCCATTTATATTAGAGCTGAGTAATATAAATGGTTAACATAAACTCAGAAATCTGAAGGACACTTGATCATTAAATGTAATGAACTTCTTTAACAATTTCAAGGCCAGTGTTGTATAGATTGGCACAGGTTCAAATCTGACTGACTGCTCATTGTTACATCTGATATCGACATATTTCTCTGCCTCATTCCACTACGATAATTCACCATACAGTCAATGGTAAATGATCTTTGAATGGGAACAGAAAGCCTAGGCTTGCTGGAAAAACAATCTTAAAATTAATGGTGTGTTAGGAGCACAATCTCAAATCCAAGATCCTTCAATCTCCAAGACCTTTTCAATCTCTGTTTCTGAATCGAAAACAGGGCCCCTAAAGCTTTGGGTTTAGGTCAGCTCCACTGCTAGGAGGAAATAACATAGCAGGTAAAGGCTGGAAAAAATGTTATAGTAGACGATGTTTTTACATCATTTTGGTCTAAGATGGTGAAAAGCTAAGAAAAAGAGGCGCCTTTCTGGAGGCTCATGCCACTCCTGGTAGTGTAATCCTCATGGCGCAAGAACTTCTTGAGCATCTCTGGCACTGTCATCACTTTGAACACCCATGCTAGACTTGGTTTTAAACTTAATACCCTTAATCTAGCAACTGCGAATGTGTGGACACAAGCATGACAAATAGCAAAAAGTGGTTCTTTGAAGGCTCATGTGGTATTTCAAAACAGTATCTCATACTGCACTGTCAGAAGCAGGATATGGGCCTGGATGGACCATCACATGACCCCAAAGCATATCATATATTCTTCCAACATCTACCTCAAATACATCACTCTTCCCAGGGAATAGGAAATAATGAAGAGGAAAATCTTTAACCAAATTGAACATTACATGATTCATCAGAGCTCAGTGACTGAGGAGGAAGTCACCGTACCTCAGGCCAGAGGGTTACTGTGATTCCTCCACACATGGCTGAGGTCATGGTTGAGGCAGGGTGGGAAATATTGCCCTGAGGTTTACTGGCTCAAGGTATCTTTGACCCGTTAGGAAACCAGAAAGTGAAAATACAAGTCTTACCAGATCCCGGAGCAAATGCCCTAAAGCCAACGCTTGCTTGGCGGTCAAGGTTTGCATGGATGTGAGAGTGGTGAAATGCCATTGCCTCGCCAAGTCAAAGATGACCTGTGAGCCCACAGGGCAAGCATCACTGCTCAGCAGCATTGCCCAATTCACAGTGAAAAATGCCACAAGGCAGAGCTCAAAGCTTCCCCAGATAGTCCCTGAAGGTGGACACACAACTCATGTGGCACCCCTCTGGTTCACGTGGTCCTTGCAATGGTGCTGGAACAGTGGCTATGACCCACCACTGAGGGCAACCAGACCATCTCTTCTGGTCCCACACACCATCGCACCTCTGGGGGGAAAGGAGGGTGCTGGGGGCACCACAGGGATGTGCCAGCTGCCACAACAGCACTTGCAGGGCAGATCCACACAGATGCTTCTGGGGCAAACATGAGGCCCTTAAGAGGGTCACCTCCTCCTTGCTCTGGCCCAGAAGGGGTGGAATGACTATTTAACACATACTATTGGGGAAGAAGCTGTGGGGTGATTTGTAAGAGGTTTTCCTTGGCCTCCTACACCACAGGCCAACTTCCCTACTGTCTCTGGCTGGTGGGCTCCCATGTGTGCAAGGATCCCTGCTAGCCAAGTCCCTACTTGGCACCATCACCCAAAGCACCACATGCTCTGCAGGCACAGCAGAACTTGCCATCACAAAAAAGAGCCCAGAACAGATGAGAGATCTTAAAGCTCTGAGAGCATGTGAATTCCTCCCTAAAGGAATCCCTCCAAAACAAGGAAAAATACTTAGTATAATAATAAAATGAACTTCCCAGGAGAAAGCCACCCTCATTCCCACATGGCAACCATGGGGAAGGGCTAACAGGGCATTCAACAAGAGTGAAGGAGTCAGAGGGCCACTCTGAGCTGGCAGTTGCACTCGAAAACTTTGGAGTGATTACTAAGAGCAGTCCTCCTTTTGTAAACATTTCTGTTATGCCTGTGTGGGTGTGAGGGGAAGTGCAGCTCTCAGCGTATTCCTTCACAGCAGGGCATATTGTGGGTATGCTGAGACAGCCTGGGCACAGTTCAGCTGAAACAAATCAGCGGGGCGAGGCCTAAACTGATGTGCAAACAGCTCCATCCTGTTTGCGCTTCCAGGTGAACCTCCGCAAAGCAGGAAATACTGAGTATTGCATATTATTTTTGTCTAGGTTTTGCTGTCACATTTATAGTCATGGGACATATGCAGGGTTCTTGACCTTTGTTGTCTCTGACTAATTGCATTAAATGGACGGTGGATATTGATGCTTAATGGACAATAAGAGTCTTTAAAAATTAGTCCAAGAGTAGATGCACCACATAAAACTAAAATTATAAAGCAAATAAAGAAAAAACCCATCTAGTGACCCATTCTTCCAGTGACATTGGCTTTCCAGTATCACAACTTCTCTTCTTCCAACAGAAATTATCATAGGATCATGCAATAGTTTGGGTTGGAAGGAACCTTAAAGATCATCTAGTTCCAAATCCCCTGACATGGAGAGGGACACTTTCCATATTCTGAAGTGTCAATGGAGAGAAGCAAAAACCTGCAAATATCCCTGAAGAACAACTTTTTTCACTACTTTGGCGTTGGATTGTGAAGCACACTCATTTTCTATACGAAAAAAACCAATTCCCCCTTTTCCAAGCTGAGTTACATGACCAGAGCATGATCACAGGCTGACAGCTCCTTGGTGTACTGTCTATAATACCCAGACATCACATGCATCACACTCTCATTTAAACCCAGCCACCAGCTCTAGCTCTGGCTGCTGCTGGTTGGATTAGTGCTAGTGCCAATAGTAAAAAACAAGCTGTCTGGAGCTATCTTTGGTAAACACTTAGAGCAAATATTCTTCCTTCTGATCTTAACAAAGCCAAGATGACTTTCTGCATGAGTAACTCAACTATTGTTGTAACACCAACCCCCTCAGCAAAACAACAACAGCAGAATACAACCTTCTTCCCTTCTCTAACTCTTTTTTAGGCATCTTTAAAAGCCCAGGGCTTCGTCTGAATTGCCCAGTTCAATCAACAAAGTCAAATCCAGTGGAGTTACACCCCAATGTACAAAGAAGTAATTGAGACCAGATTTTGGCCTGAAGAACCTCTAAATCCATTTCTCCTCTCACCCCTCCAAGAGTCACATTTTTGAAAAGGAAAAAAAAAAAGACAAACTCAGTGAATCATGCCAGTAGGCAGCTAAGTTTTAAAAGGGGGTAGAGAGAAATAAAGTTAAGTAATAGGAGGGGTGCAAGCTTTATGAAATAGAGGTCCACAATGGCAACTTGCTAGTCAACCAGAGGATGCAATCAGTTTGCATAAAATACAGCAGTCTGCAGATTCAGTTTACACTGTCCCTGAAGTCAGTCCCTGTCTGTCAGTGAAGATTATCTCCTCACTATCTTCCTGCTAAGCCGGTTCTGAAGACTTTAAATCTCCTTAAAAAATGATGAGAAATGGAAGCATAACATCCTTGAAGTGCATGGAGAAAGGGAAAAGGAAAAGGGAAGAAAGTGAAGGTTTCACAGGACTTGCCTTTGAGGGTTGTTATTTCAGTGATGAAAGTCAGAGGTTGCCTATAGATCAGCCAGTGCCACAGTGGTGATGGAGCATGAAACCTCACTTAACTCCCACTTTGCTGTCCCCACAGCCCAGCCAATGGGGTCCTCACAGCAACCACATTCCTACCATTACACCTGTGGCTTTTCCTGGCCTACAGAAGCTAATCCTGACCAGTTGCATCTTGAAAAAAACAAGCTTTCCTCATCTCATACGGGAACACTAATGCAACAACTCAGTGTCTGAATGGGAATGTAATTGGATACATGAACAAGTTGCATGAGCCTGTTAGGGAAAGGGGAAAAAAATAAAAAAGCAAATATACCAGTGAACAAATGTGAATGGACAGGATTCCTGATTTACGGGCAGCAAGCAGGGTTCAAATTGGATCTGCACTGCCTCAGCAAAGGCAGCTGCTTATTGGACCATTTGTTTTTTAATCACCCTTCGATGTAGCTTTTACTGAATCCTAGTTAAAATGCCACGTTGAATAAGGGCAACTCTGTGCCTTGTCCTGCCACAGCCCAGTCCTGTGGTAGGTTAAGGACTGTGCTGTGATTTGTACAGCCTGTACTCTGATACTCCAGGAAAATAAACACAACCTAGACAGAGAAAAGAAATATAAGAGTGAACCCTAAAGTGCTGAGTTCTTTCAGACTCAGGTGTGGGTCAGCCAGGCTTTAAATAATATGTCTGTTTAATCATGCAATAGCTATGCAAGGCTTCAAGTGGAACAAAGCAAAATGTGCTTACTAGCAATAATATGGATATTGTGTAGGAAACCAGTATTTACTGTTCCAGTTATTAGAAATTTATTATTTCCCGTAAATAAAAATTAGGCAAAGAGATAATGAAACCATGGTATTTCTAAAGGAATGGTTAATTCTAATAAAGGTAATTTAAAAATCCTGGTTTTCAGACAGAAGGGTCTATTCCCCTTTTAACATCTACCCAAGGCAGTGCTTATGTTAAGAAGCAAGTGGCATTTTGAGTATTCCACTACAACAAGGAAACTGGTGTTGAAGGACAGCCCAAGCACCTCACTCCCTACCACCATACCAAGCAGCAATTTCCTACTCAACAACTGACCAAAGGGTGCCTTGTCCATGGCATCACCTTTATCTCTCCTTGACATGGTTTGTGTAGCAAAGAGTACCCATCCATCCCACAAGAAGGATCCCAGAACAGGGACTGTCTGCAAAAAAGCATCCCAGCACTTTGGTGGAACATCAGAGCATGATGAGCTTTACAGATTACAGTCAAGGTCCTGAAGAGCACCCAAAAGCCTGGTGGAAATCCAGTGCAATTCCCAGAGCTTGCACCCATGTACCATGTATCAGACCACTTAGTCACTACAAAGTCCTCACCATTTTGGGGGAAATCAGAGCAATTTGGGATTCTAATGTATCCCATAAACTTGAATAAAAGCACATAATCCACAAGAGATGGGAAATCCAGCCTGCATCCCTCAGCTCACTTCTTTCTGCCCTACCAGCATTGCATCTTCCCTCTCTCAATGAAGTCTCAGCTGTGCTCCCTTAAATTTGCAGAGAAGGCAGGGAATGCCACACAGCTTTGTTTCCAGTCAGGCTTATTGAAAGCTCATCTGAAGTTTTCATCTCCCAGATCTGTAAATGCTGCGGCTGCCTCATAACGAGGCAGAGAAGAAGTCTATTAATCAAAGCCAGCAGAACATTTTCTACAGGAGGCATTTATGTGAAGGAGACCAGCATATGAGGTTACACTTAGTTAGGAAGAAAATTACAAGGGGATCTTAGTTCTTGTGCTTCAGGGCATAAGCTGATCACCAGATGGGGTCAGGAAGAATTTCACCCGCTTTCGTTCCTAGATATAAAGTTGCACAATAGGTAAACTATGGAGGCACAAGGAAGAAGGAAAAAAACCTGCTTATAGCCTGGATTTCCCCCCTGCTTTCTTGGGAACTATGTCTACAAACATTGCCAGACAGAAGACTTGGTTAGAAAAAAATATTGTGTTTTAATTTGGCAGTCCTTACCCAGAAAACGATATGCACGAGAGCCCTGACTTCATATGTCCAATGAACAAAATATGAAGCCTAGCCAAAAAAACCTGCTCTGGGAAGCTGGGGGGCAGCAGGTACCATGTAATGGGTACAATCAGCATATTTAATATATTATAAACATTTTACACTAGTTAAAGTTAGACTTCTAGATCTGGGAGAACTTTGCCACAGCTCATGGGAATTTTTTTGTTGCAATTCTTTGAGTGCTTTGGGTTCAAATTAACTCACTTCTCTTTCTTACTGCAAATTAATAAACCAGTTGAACTTAAAAAAAGAAGGAAAAGAAAGAAGAAGAAAGCCACAACACTTTGTTAAAACCACTGAGTTTCAGCTGGTATCATGTCAAAACCACTTGAAACATGAAACTAGAAATCTTCCTAGGTTGACTCAAAGAGTATGTCTATACTAGGAGTGCTTTACCAGGAAAGGAATGCTGGTGTAAAATGCTGGCAAAGGACTCTGCTGTGGATGCATCTGTAGCAGCAGAAGTGAGTATTAAATCAGTCTAGGGAATTGGGCCAAGAGCTTTGTTGACAGACTTGTATCTAGGTGAAGTTCTCCAACAATTCTAACAATGGGTCAGGGGCAACACCTCTTTACATCCTGGATAGACACAAACATGTCAGCACAAATTTAGAATCTAGAAATGCACAAAGTTAGATAGAAGTTGCTTTGAATCTCTTTTGAAAAATTTAACCAGCTCTGACTCTAGAAAGAACAACTTTGCTTTATTTTGTAGGCTTCACTGTTTTGCTGTAAACTTCTGGCATAGCTGCAGTTAAACATCTTATTTCAGCCTTCTAATCTGTGACACATGGTGGGTGCTTTATGATTTCTCTCAGCACAATGAAATCTGTCTCTAGCATGCAATCATAAATGTTGCATACAAGCCTCACGAGCAACCTTCGGAGATTTCTCCACAACCCAGTTCATTTATTGTAACCGTGGTCAGCAGTGGTGGTGGAAGGAAACCACCATGTGAGAAGATTGTGTTTTTATTCTGATAAAAATACCATTAAGTGCTGGCTGCTTCCCTTAACACAACTGCAAAATAACAAGGCTGAATAAAAATATTAATTCTATTGTATACTAAAGGTACTATTGCAACATGGAGAAGGCAGAGCAACGTGGCAGTTAGAATTTCACCAGATCCCTACTTAGATGACCTGGATTGACTATTTTAGATTTATGGCAAAAATATATTTAAAAAAAATACATTTTCAGCTTCAAGCACTATAGAAAAATCCACTTCCCACCTAGCTTTGCTTGGACAACATCCCCCACTCTGTAACAGCCTCTTTTACTGCAGCTGAGACACAAATTATCCATAAGCAATTACTACCAATGCCTGTGCAAGTCAAACCTATGGTTCTGTCTCTTACCTGTAATCTGACTCTGTCCTTGTGGATTAAAAGGACTTGGTGCAGAGTTCAGAGAGGGCCGTGGGCTCTGGGTCGGGACCCCTACTCTCATACTGGGATGAGGAATGCGCCCTAAATCACTGAGGCGCTCAGAGAACAAACTAGGTTTAGAGTCATCAAGCTTCTGTCTGTGCCCTGGAAACAGCAAATCATAAAATAAAAGCGTTAATAACAAGATTTATCAATTTAACACACCCCCAAAAAAACCCCCAAAATGGTCTCTAAGGACCTGTTATTAGATTTAATGGATTTACAGGTATCTCAGCTACCCCAATAACACAGAAACATTGTGAGGGGGTTGTGTTTTGGACATGGTTGTGCTGGTGAAAGCCTTATCAAGCACAGCTGTGCCCATACATGTGTAACATATTACAATTTGGATCAAAATAAGCACTTATCAGGACACCCACACAAGGTCTTTTTTTTTTTTTTCCCTTTTGCTACTTTAACTACCCAAGGTAGTTAAGGAGGCAAACTTTCCCTTCCAAAAGCAAGCCTCATATGTACCTATAACTTATCAACTGGGACAATTACTCCATGCCTGCATTACTCCATTACTCCATGCCATGTTGTGGATTTTTGCTATGAAAATGCAAGCTTTTCTTCTCTCTCTCTCTTTTTTTTTTTTTTTTTTTTTTTTTTTTTTTTTTTTTTTTTTTTTTTTTTTTTTTTTTTTTTTTTTTTTTTCTATAGTTAGTCATTAGCTTTCATTCCTCTGGGAGATTTTCCAAAAAGTAATTAGTCCCTGTCAGTTGAGAAGAGCAGTATTCAAGGGAAACCTCCAAGAATCCTGGCCAGGACAGGAGGACAGGGACCTACACACCCTTGCATGGTTAGCTTTCCTCAGTGCTCCTACTGAACTCACCCAAAACAGGCCAACTACCCCTGGATATATTTGGAACACTCATTTAGGGGTGTTTTGCTGACAAAATATGAAGGGGGAAATGGCAAAAGCACTGGGATGCCCCCAGTGGTCCTGCTTATGTTGTCATTGAGATGTTTCAAGAGCAAGGGCTTTGCTTCTCTAATGGTTGTATTTTTGCTCCTAGGTTTAATTTCTTTCCAAAGGATGCTCCTTGTCCAATGGTGCATTTGAACGTGAGTTGCAGAAGGTGTTATTTCTATCATTCAGCACAGGGAGAAAAAGGCATGCATAGAGATTAAGAACAGGACTAATTTTACTTAACTTTAGCCATTCATAAATCAGGCATCTAGTCTAAACTCTTCTAATGTAGACTTCCTCTTCAGTTAATGGAAAGAAATAGCTACTTCCAGAGGGCAATTCATCTCATTTGTCTCTGACAGTCGCCTTAAAACAGCATGATTCACCTCCTCAATTTGCTTTCTCTTCCTACTCTGATCAGAGAGGGAGCACACATGACTGGTTTAATTAGACACCCTCGCCATTAGTCAATGTTAAATGGAATGAAGCCTACCCTAAGTTACAGATCAAGGTCACACAAAGAGCCTCTGGCAGACCTGAAAGGGGGACCCAGACTCCTTGATTTCAACCCAGAACCACATCTGCCTCCATCCCTATAAGCAGTACTGAGGCACTGGCACAAGTAATAAGTGGGGGGGGATATTTTAATGCTTTTAACAATAGGAAGGGTCCCTGGTACAGTTTGGGCTTGAACTCTTTCAAATAATCACCAGTGGCTTGAGATAATCTGTGTTGTCCCTCAGCAGTATGAATATGGCCATCTTCTGGAGTCTACAAGAGTTCAGCTCTGCCGACATGGGAAGATTCTCCCATCAGTCTTTGGGCCATAGAACCAATTCCAATACTGTTTAATTTATTTTAGAAGCAGAAATGAGGCCACTGAATCTTGAGATTGAGCTATCAGGGTACCACTTCTAAAAAAAAAAGCTTTTTAATAGTAAATCTCACCACAGTACTGAGTACATGGGTTCACACGATCTGATTGGTATCACAGTGCCAACATGACGCATAGGCAGTGCAATATCCAAACTAAATAAATCCAGACTGGATTCAGAGAAATCATAATTCTAGACAGAGAAGGATTCAGGTTGGGAGATGAGGGGAAACTTGATGGGATTTAACACTGGAGAAACTTCTCTAGCAATTTAAAAAATTAATTAGTTGACCCGTAATTTGGTGCTTTGAAGTCTGGGTTTTCTCCCCTGTAATGACTCAGTCTAAAAGCATGGGGTAGGTGGGAACCTTCTCCTTAGGGAGAGAGTGCTGTTCCATGTTACAGCTGCCATGGGTGCCTACTCCTCTCTTCAGAAAGTATCAATTACTTTAAATAGGGAATGATTTTTTGGCTTATAAAAACTCCATAATAGCAGCTTAATTAACAGGGTCACATCCAAACTCTAGTCTTCAGCATTATATTCTCAATCCATTTAAACTAATATTTGTACAAGTTGGGTGCTGCTAAATCTGAAAAAATTACTTTTACATACACATGCAGTCAGTATTCTCTTGGGATTTCTCCCTCTTCTTTTCCTCCACAATTTTTATGTATTTGTTTTTCCCTTTGCTAGTCATATTTTCCACTCTGTTTTTTTAAGACACCTCCTTCCTCTCTGTTTTTTTCTTCTGCTTATTCCTGATCATGCTTTGGTAAATTGAGCAACCTGGGATAGTGGAAGGTGTCCCTGCTCATGGCAGGGTTTGGAACAAAATTATTTTTAAGTCCCTTTTCAACCTAAACCGTCCTGGGATTTTGTGAAATTCAGGGGATCTCAAAATAAGGCAAATGTGATAAGCCCATCTCCATTCTCACACACAACAGTCGATTTTAGCTGGGAATGAATTCACTCCCAAAGTGAATTGTATTTAGAATTTCTTAGAAAAAACCCTGTGCTGTGTTCATGTAGTGACCTTTTAACTAAAGAACCACTAACAAACTGGTGCATAATCTATTTCAGCTGTCCTCAGGTAACTCAATAAATAACTTACTACACAGGTCACCACCATTCCTGCACTAACCTGTGCCAAATAACCCTCAGCCTTGTTTTCATCACATTCTGTTTGGTCATATATAGCTTTGTTAGAAGAGAGTTTATACTAAATTATATGTATTATAGCAGAGCTCTGGATAACAGAGCACTTTAGGATGGGCAGGGGAAGAAAAAAGAAAAAAAGAGAGGAAAAAAAAAGAAGGGGCATACAGGAAGAAGAAAAACAATTTCCACATCTGTTTGAATTGAAATGATCTATAGATGTGTGGGTTTGGGTGTTGCCACTTCTCCCCCACCCACCCCCAAAAAAAAAGAAAAGTAGGGAAGAGCAAGCTCTATGCACATCTGGAAGACCCCAGGCATCAATGGAACTGCACGTCCCCAGAAACCAGCAAGGGGCCAAAGGCAGACTTGCCTTTTCCTTCTGGACATTTAAAATTTAGGGTTGTAACACGGAGTCATGTTGTGACAAAGGGATCCACAGAAGGAGCCACAGTCCCCGAGTGAAATATCCCAGGGAGACAAGATGACATTGCAGCTTTGCATGTTATGGGTTACTCTGCTTTGATAAAGGCTGAGACGTGCTCACACTGAAAGTAAGCAGGAAACTCAACAAAATCTTTGTATTCAGGAGGTGCTCACAAAGGCGTGTGGGCAATTTAAATAAATGTTTTGCCTTGATTTCTGTGCAAGAAAAAAAAAATCCTGTTAAGTATGGAGGAGCCATGAGGTATGGGCTGAAAACACTCTAAAAAGACCTTCTGAGTAGCACATAAGCAGCAGGAATGAAATATGTGATACATGTTTAAAACTCATTCCACAAGCTGCTTTTCATCTCTCATTGATATATGTGTCCGTTGACAGAGAAATTCCTGATCCCAGGGGAGTGTGCTAAGAAAAGCTGTATTCCTCAGTCTCAGCACTGAGGCGTAATTTTATTTCAGGAAAAAAGATTAGGGTAGCAAGTGTGGATAGCTGAGGAAGAATCCATGATCTGCTGCAGCAGTGAGTACATCAAAAAGCAATATAAAAGCTATGTGAAGAGTAGAATAAAATAGTGTTACAGCTACCCCAAAGTGTGCAACACTTCATTTAGTGCCTGTTGCTCTATTGCAAATATGAATGTGATTTGGCTTGGAGGGGAAATAAAATGCCTGTGGATATAAGCAGTCTTGGATGTGAAATGTTGTCAAAAATAAATGGAAGCTGACCCATGAGTCTCTGATTAAGGATGGGACCCAGTGGCCACTGGAAAAGATAAAAATCACCAGTGAGGAGATGGGAAAGAGATGAGAAAAACTGAAAGTTAAAACAAGCTGTTCTGATTTGTCTGCTGGCACAGTACAAAACATGTTGGATATCAGAAATCCAGGGTTTGCTGCAAAATAGCAAGAAATATTCTGATCTTTCACCACTGCTCCGCTGTTTCTAGCCAAACACCAACCTGAGTATAAATTTCTGGACACAGAAACATTGTCATTAATCCCCTCCTGTGCCAAAGCTGGCCATTTTACATGAATGAAATCAGTACTGAGAGTGCTATAAGGTCAGTGAAAACTGCAGCCAGCCAGTCAGTGCCTGTGCTGCTGCTTCTGCTTGCCAGCCCAGCCCAGCCTCAGAACATGTTTGTGTGGCCCATGGAAGCTGATGTTCAATTATCACATCCCAGGCATGGCAGAAGATGTGAGGAGTCTTCATCTCCAGCTTAATCATTTCAGTTTAAACTAAGCGAAGGACTGCCTCCCAGATCAAAGCAAGGCAATCGTGAGTCTGCTGGATGTGGTAACTGGAAAGGGACGTGAGCTCGTCTCTCATCACTGAACTTCCACTGCTCTGCTGGAGGAGGCAAGATGTAAATGGGGCTGTGGAAGAGGCTGACTTGCAGAATGTAAATGTGGTGTTGATGCTTGAAGATTTTTACCTCCTCAGGGAGGAGGGGTGTGCGTTTTTATCTTTCAGCTTGTGGGTGTGGAACTGAAAACTAATCAGATTATGCTACACGTGGCTTTGCCAGATGCTGACACTCAGGGACTCCCTTTCTTTGTACCGTGTACACCACCCACCAGCTTTTTTGTGTGGTTTTTTTTTTTTTCCTGGTACCCAGGAGATCTGGTTACCAGATTTTCAGCAGATGCTTTTATCACTCTCCACTGGGCTAGCTATTTTCAGTCATCACCCAGTTGTATCTTTTTCTGCTTTTGCCT